CAGGAAAAAAGATACCACCAGAGTTTTTAAAAAATCAGTTCTGCAAAAGGCCAAAAGGATACTGAATTAATGTTCTCCCTGACTCTGAGCATTTTCATCTGCCAAATCAATTAAAAAGAGGTTGTGTATGTAAGCAAGGCCTAGAACAACGCCTGCATTTTTGTTTGCACGAGCTGCCCGGTTCGTGCAAATCAACACATTAATTGAGCCAGGAAATACGTATTGGTTGGAGAGAAGGCTTAAAGGGATTTGCAGCCTGAAATTGCCTGTTGCAGTCCTTTCAGAAGTGTTATTCTTGTGTGTGTTGCTGCTAAAGTTGTGGGGAATTCGCTGCAGGAGACAGGCCATTCAGTCATAAAACGCGGGCGGGGGAACTGGCAGCGTTAGGGTTTTCGGAAGGGATGAGCAGCTGAGCACACAAAGCCGCAGACGTAGTCAGGCCAGTTGGGTGGCTGTCCCAGATCTAAACACAGTCAGGGACTCGGCTGCTCCGTGCTGCCGAACGCCAGCGCCTGAGCCTGAATTCAGCGTTGCTCCCTGGTTTCCCGTAGAAGGACTGAGAGGTGCGGAAGCTCTCTTCTCCAGCTCACCGTGTTTATTTTTCCACTTGCCCTGCAGATGAGAAGTAGTGAGTGAAGGAAGTGAGACTGTGTTGGCATTTAGGTAAAGTTGAACTTTGAGTATTGTAACGTGGCACGTGAATGCAGATGTTGTTAGTTCTGTCAGAGGGCTCCCAAACCGCTCTGCTGGCAGGGTACATACCTGTTATACTCACCAAAGACACCAGCCTAAGGCAGTCTCGCCTTGTAGGTGCAGAAAGGGAATTTCTCACAGAATCTCATATAAGAGGGTGAGCAAAGTGATGTTACAGTTGTGAAAATGCAGTAATATCTGAAAGAGACCATTGACTTTGGTGTTCTCTCGAGACAACTGTTTACAATAACATCCAGGAAGGGAAAAAAAGTGTATTTTTTCCTTATTTGGACTACTGATGTGGGCAGTATGGATTTTGGTACATAGGAAAGATATTGATATGTCACTTAAAGAGGTTTGTTTTTCTTTTGGATTTTTTTTATTTTTCAAAAAAACCATGCACAAAACCAGCAGCCTGGCTTTGTTCTGTTTCAGGCTTTAGCAGAGCATGAAGATGAACTACCAGAAAACTTCAAACCAGCACAACTTATCAAGGACCTTGCCAAAGAAATAAGATTAAGTGAGGTTTGTGCTCTTTTCGTGATATTAGGTATATTGTGGGTCTTTTAATAATCTGGGCTATAAAATGGGTTCTTTGAAATACGTGACTCTCTTTTTCCCACTCTCTTCATTTAAAGAATTCATGTGAGGGTTCGCAGCAGGGGGACTGCTCGCAGCTCTGGTCTGTGGCTGACTTGCCACATATTCTGGGCCCCTGTTTGCTTTCTCCTCGGCTTTATGCTGTGCTTGCCTGTCGTGCATCCTTCCTCCTCCACCTTCTCCTGGCTGGACTGGCCACACTCCCCTCTCCATCCTTATTTTCTCTTTCACTTTCGCTACTCCCTACCCCAAAATGCGATAGAACATAGAGAACGCTGCTGCCATCCCTGTGATCACTCTCCCTATGTATTATCTCCTTTTACTTGTGTTGTTCGGTCTTTGCTATGTCTGAGCTTGGGACTATGACTCTGTACGTTGTCCCAACAGGAAGCCTTGCTCTTGGCTGGCTTCTTGGCAGAGTTACTATAGCAAAGGTGATAATAATTATACAACCCCCCCCAAAAAACCCAACCCAAAAATGTAGGCCACATGGAGGTATCATCCACTAAGTCTGGTATCATATTCCACTTACTGGGGATGTGTGACAGTGCAAGGTGACAAGAACTAGTTCAGTTGCTTTAAGAAGACATTGTGTTACATTCCACCCCTTTCTCTAACTATATCCAAAGACATCAAAATTGACATCTATCTTGTCCTTTTATCCTCTTTGATGTAGTCTGCAAGTTTTCTGATGGTGAGAATGGCGAGTTAAGGAGAAAATAATTTCTTTTTAATTAGTCAGACAGAGTTAATTTTAATTGGGCAGCTATTTTACTGCTTATTTTTCCTGAGGGCATGAAACAGGATTCTGCTACATTTGTCACATCTGAATTAAATGGGAATGGTTTGTGCTCCAGCTGATCAGCATTCGAAGCAAAAGATGGTTGAGTTTATACATCTGTTGATATGGGCAGTCCATTTAGCTGTCCTACCTGATGATAAAACCTGGTGTGAGTTACATTCCTTAGGAAGCCACCAGAGTTTCTCCAGGCCAGACTTGTACTTGAGCAACGCGGGGGTGGGAATTACTGGTGAGCAAAGCGTTGCTGTGGCGTGCGATGTGGTCTTCGTTCCCTGGCCAGCCTGACCTGTGAATGCCGTTACCCTTTCACTGAAGGGGGGATCTCTGGGGTTTGTTTCCCCAAGAAAGGGAGGGTGCAAGGGAGTACCTAACATGAGACAAGGGGGTCTGAATGCCTTCCCATTTGATACTAAACTGCAGAATGCTTCGAAGGCCAGCAAAGCAGACACGAGTGCCAACACAAATGCCGAGGAGATCTGTCCCGTGGAGAAGGAGGAGGCACCATCACCTGTCGAAGTGACGCCTCCGCCCCCACCTGTAGAAAAGCTCCCTAAAAAAAAGACTCCCAAAACTGTGAAAGCCCCCAAACAACTCAAGCCATCCAAACCCCCCAAACCTCCCAAGCCGCCCAAACCGCCGAAGCCTCCCAAGACACCGAAAGTTAAGGGAGAAGGAAAAAAGAAAGGCAAGAAGGCAAAAGAGAGTCCACCGCCAGCCATCCCGAATCTCGACTTGCTGGAGGCACACACAAAGGAGGCTCTGACAAAGATCGAGACGCCAAAGAAGGGGAAGGTGCGTGGTATTTTAAGCTCTCCCTGTTCTCTCACCATAGTAGGGATAAAATCACGCCTTCGATCTCGTGAGAAAAATGATTTAAGCAACACAGTGTAAAACCCTGTCTCTGCTGAAGTAAATGAAGGTTTTGAAAATACTAGCTTTCCACCCTTTTTTTACCTGACTGTTTGGTTTGATTTGACTATTTGCTTGGTTATTCATTTGATGTGGAGCCTCCAAGAAACCTGTTGATTCAAGCTGAGTCTGGCAAACTGCTGCCAGTTCCCTGCCCAAACTGAGGTGAGATGAAAATTAAAAGACATTTTTAATGGTTTTGTTTTTTTCCCCTTGAACTATTATATTCTTATTTCAAGTGTTATTAGCAATCTTGTGTGCATTTCCATAATCGGTTATCAAAGATGAAGGAGCTAATTTCTAAAGCATCGTATTTGCATGAGATTTTGCTCTAGAATGAGCGAGTGAAGATAAAACAATAGTTGGCTTCCATTTTTGCCCATGTAGGACAAGTTTCATTTTGACGGCCTTTAATTCCATGTGAATTTTGCTGCTGACTTCAGTAGGGGTCAGGATTTCACTGGGGCACTGACAGAGTGATGTATTGCACGCTGTTTGTTAAGAAGTATCCCGAAGTCTTTCCTAAAATGCTCCTGAATTTCCTACTGGTTTGTATGCAGTTTGCAAAACCTGTCCAGGGAGCAATAAGCAGGCAGATGAGTATGTTTTTACAGTAATCTTGTATCTTCGTATATCAAGGGGAAATGTAGTCTTCTGCATTCTCTGAAGGAGCAATATTTGAATCTCATATTTGGGTTCAAAAAGAATGAATCAGAAGAGGAGTTTTCAAAAATACATCGCGTTGTGTTCCAGATACAAAAGTGTTTCTGTAACGTGCCAGCCCTCCATCCTCATTAAGAGTACATGCTGACTTTTTCCCCAGGCTGCAAAGAATGTTTTAAGTGTTCCCAATAAGGAAACTGCTAGTAAGCAGAATGAGGTGGAGAAATTTGAAGTTCGAGAGCAAAATAAAAGCAAAACGGAAGCCAAATGGAAGTATAAGGTAACGTCTCCTGTTAAATTCTGCTGCTGATTCTGCCACGTAGTGAGAAGTCGAGGGTGGAGAAATGTTCATAGGTCTGCCTAAGCAGAGAGTACAAAGCACCAATTTTCAGTTCCCAAAGAAAAAATGTTGGACAGAAAGTAAGCAAGTAATCACTGATAAAGGAGGAGGGGCATATGCCGAATTGTCCATCTTTGTCCTTGTTGAAGCCAGTGGGAACACTGTTAATAGTGAGATTTTTCAGTGCTGAGCTCTTTCGTGATCCTTACTTTAACGCAGTCGTACTACTCTATGTCTGAAGTAGTTCCAGAGAAATCAATAACTAATGACGGCATAAAAGTGCAGTTAATGAAATCTGAATTATGCCACATGAATTAAAAGCTTGCCTTCCTGGAGGGCTAATGTAGGGTGAGTAAAACTCATGCATAGAATAATAGATTTTTTTCTCTGGGTACAGTTTAAAATAAGGTGACACTAGGCTTTCTCACAGAAATAGCTGTCTGAATTTTGCCTGCTTGGTGAACTTCTAATGACAAAGGTGCAAACAAATTCCCAAAACGAAACAAAAGTACATTCTTTTTCATGTGGGGAAACTATTAAGAATCATGAATCATTAACGTTAGAGACATCTAAATTTTTTGTGTTAAAAAAGTCATGGTTAATGTGACTAGATCAATATGCACCAATTAATTCCGCAGCCAGTACAGCTTAGGAAGGTATTAAGGCGATGCTTAAAAAATAATTAAGGCTTCCTTTGCACTGAATGACTTTGACATTAAATTGTTAAATTCATCATTCAAGCTCTTCTGAAGGTGTGAAAGAAGCAAGTGGAGCCTGGGAATAAAATGCAGACGCGTTTGCGAGGTTGCAGGCACTGTGCTAGATTCTGTCCTTAGCCACACAGGCACAACGCTGGTGAGCAGCATGCTTAGCTGGTGCTCTGAGTCACGGAACGTCCGTTTAGTATTTTACACCGGTCTATACCAGTTTAAGAGCACAGTGTTAAAATTTGACATCATGTTGGTGGCAGGCGTTGCTTAGACTGGTGCTGAAGTGCTGCTGGAGTGGGGACAAGTCCCTGAACTAAAACCCGTGTAGTCTGAGTATAATCCTCTATGAGTTACAACATTTGGGGAACATATCTTTCTCTGCATATAGATGAATGGATTCTCTGCAGTTACCTAGGAATCTGAAATATCAACAACTCATTCAACGAAATTTATTGATTTGGTTTGGGTCCTTTGCCTTTTAGAACAGTAAACCCGATTCACTTCTAAAAATGGAAGAAGAACACAAATCGGAAAAGACACCTTTATCAGGAAATAAGGACAACAAATTTACATTCTCTTTCTCTAATAAAAAGTTGCTTGGGTAAGTAAAAGCTATGACAATGCACATCCATTAAAAAAAGCAGATTAATAAGTCTTGTCGTTATTTGTGGTTTTTTTATACAAGAAGGTGAAAATCTGCCTTTCTGGGCAGTGTAGAATATACACGTAAGCAGAAAGTTCTTCACTCTAGAACCTGATTTTACCTAGAACCCAGCACACCTGGCCATAACAGCAATAACCTATCTTTGAGGCTGGTAGTTTGCTTGAGAACAGTGTCTTCAGTATTCAGGCAATGTCTTGTGTTTTGGTACTCAGGTTCTTACTATCTGAGTTACATGAAGTGGTTTTTGTGCAGATCCTACTCAGGGTATGTTTTTAAGAAACTGTTTAATGAACTTTGCATACCAAAATGCCATACTGCATGTATATTGTGCATATCATGGTATACCTCGAGCTTGAGTAATACAGTGCTTATTTGAAGCCAGCCAAGGCTGCTCTATTTTGAGATGTAAATTGGAGGTACAGAAATGTGTTTGTAAAATTATTTGGATTGCTGTGGTGCCTTGGAAAGTTTTGAAGTTGACTGAGATTCCTACATAAAGATACTTGTTGTCTTCCTCTCTGTCAGTTTGCAAAATGTTTTCCAATCAGAATATTGTTACTGATTTGTAATTTTTTTTGCAGTTCAAAGGGAGCCAAAACCCAGCTGAATACTAGTGTGTTTGGGTCCCTGCAGAATTTTAAAGAAGATAAAGCAAAACCTGTACGAGATGAATATGAATATGTGTCAGATGATGGTGAACTTAAAATTGATGAGTTTCCAATCAGGAGGAAGAAAAACACTACGAAAAGAGAACTGCCCTGTAAGAATGTTTCCTGTTTTGTCTGTATCTGCACAACAAAATCTTATGTGTTGATTGTCCAAAATTAGTCTTTAAAATCTGTGTGATTTATAATAAAGAAAGCCATGTCTTAACTGTCGGTCAAATGAAGGTGGGTTTGAATTGCTTTAGAAGTTGTGGCTCAGGACTGCTATCTTTTGAAGGGAAGAGAACCATGACTTTGTTTTTTCTTTTTTTTTTTTTCAATTCAGTTTTATCGGATAAAAAAGACACTCTGCAGCACACTCCTGTTAAGAAGCCGAAGGTGGAGTCGGTATCGTACAAGGTATGGTTCTGGTTGTACCTGTCACAAGCAAGCCCCCGTCGTGTGTGTCTAGCAGTGTGTGGGGCAGGACTGTAGTGGCAGTAGCAAAGCCTTCTCCTGGGCTGTTGTCACCTCCTCTCCTTCGTTCTGCCGTCACAGTCTGCCCAGAGTAGGGAGCATCCAGACTTTGCCAGGGCTGAGCATGGCTTGGTGCTGTGGCTTGAACTGCCTGGAGGTGATCAGGCCCGGTGGGAAGCGCGCATGGGAACCGTCACAGTTGTACACCGCCACGGGGGCAGGAGCAAGCCGTAAGAAGGAATGGGAAGGGTCAGAAGGAGTTTTCTGCCGTACCTGGCTCGATGTTACGTTGCTGATAGGCAGAGGGGTCTGTCCCAAGCTGGGCTCCCAACCTGCATCTGTCGCCATGTGCTTTGAACACTGGGCATTAAATTTCCACGTTCGTGTTTGACAGATGAAACTTGGAGTAATGCTAATACAGCTGAACTCATGTCACTTGGTATCTGACATGACTAGAAGCCCTTAATCCCTGTTCTGTAGCAATGGAAGGTTTTGTTTGCTGTCACTTAGCAGACTCTCCTTCTGCCCACTGTGGGCTTACATCTAGAACGCCCTTGACTCAGCATGATGCTTCAGCATGTCCCTAGCGTGGGGCACTGTCAGTGTGCCTGTCGATAGCTTACCTTCAGGAAGCTGAACAGCACAGGCCTAAGTGTGCCCTGTGTTAGCATTGAAGCTTAATGCTGGAAACTAAATTACTTTAAATGACGTTAAAACTAAATGTTTTGCCCAGCTGTGGCTAATACAAATTCGTATCATAATGTCTGAATCAGTCAGAAAAAGCAAACTAGCTCGGTAACGCAGAGCTGTAGGTTACGGCAATGTTTGGCCCTAAGAACTCAGGACTATATGTCATGCTGGTTGGGCTCGGCGATGTTCAAGAGCAAGTGCAGACCTCCTTGCCTCAGTCAGTACTTGATGTCTGGAGCCTGGTGCACAGAGAGCAGGGACAAACATGCTGGTACCTCACTGTGCAGAAGCTTGAGGAGGGAACCAGTTCCTGGAGAGAACGGCGACTGACAGTCTGAGCAATAAGGGCCAGAACTTCAGAGGCCTGAAAGCGGGGCAGGAACGGGGAAAATAATTGTTCTGTTGTACCCTAGACTACAGTGCACAGAGATAGCATCCCCAAAAAGACAGTTAGGTGCAGGTAGCTGCTTTCAGTGGCCTCAGATGCTGCTGTTTATGTGTGTCTGTCCCATTCCTCTCTCAGATCGTCCTGTTGTCTTGCAGTAGGGATGGCAGAAGCGGGTCTGTCCTTGTGGCTGAACTGGCTATTAACATAATAATCTTGTGCCACGATGCCTATCTCAGCTGACAGATAAAGCCACGTTCACTTCTTTTGCGGCATGGGTCGTTGTCTCAAGAGCAGGAGCAGGGGCTGCTGAGGCAACACAGCGCCCAGAGACACCGCTGTTACAGTGGTTTGATCCCACGCGCAGGATCAGACCTCAAAGCTGACTCCCCAGGGCTGGATGGGTAAAGAAAAACCTGCCATGCCTAGGGGTTGCAAGGAAACGGATTTTTACTGTGTGCTGGTTTTGTTTTGTTTTGTTTTTTCTTTAATGAAAGCAAATTATGAATGCTAGCCCTGTGTCTTTAGAGGAGCAGCAGGCTACAGAAGTTATTGTGGTGGTCTTGTTGACTAACTTAATGAGTTTCTGGGTTTTTCTGAGCCATTTCCTTGTTTTTGCAGAGTGATGACTCGTCAGATGAGGATTTGCTTCACATTGACACGGAGGCAAAGCCAGGGCGCAATTCCAAAGTAAAGAAAGAGAGTGGAAGTTTAGCAGG